CCAACCCGAGGGCTACTCCAAGAGCTTTTCACCAGCCCCGCGAACCGCATGTTCGTCGACGCGGACCAGTTCGGCCAAACGTTCGTGGACTTGGTTGGTTTGAAAGACGACGTATTGACGAAGCTGCTGCCGACACACGGCTTCCCGGCGGACTCGGTCCAACAGATACGGAACGACGACCGAGTGGGTCTGATCAAAGCGCGGCTGGAGACCCTGATTGCTGGTGAACGGGAATTCATGAAAGAACGGAACGTAAAGTTGCCGACGGAGCGTACGGCAACAACCATTGCTGATAGCGACGCTTCGGACGACGAGTAGACGGGGCACCGACACCCGCTGCAGTACCCCGCCTTCGGTGTACACGACCGGTTCATCCAAGCAAGATGTAGGGTGGTGTGGAGCAATGGGAGGCTAGGTTTACATTCACGAGATCTTTACTTGCTGGCTGATGCACTTGACTGTGCTGATAAAGGTCTTGAGAGATTTGGGCATCTCACGAACGGGAGATGAGAGAGCAAAATATGAAACCCATCAGCGGTTGGATAGGAACTTATCTGGCGAATGTTCGACAAAAGTCTAAGGCGGGGTCTCGCCTCCTGTCCAAGCCGCTTCCAGCGTTCGTGACTATTTGATGCGCGATTCTCAGTGTTATGGCCCAGAAATTCGTTCACAAAGTCGCTTGACTATTGTCGAGGATGGAGTCGGCGGTCGCGGTCCATTTAGTTCCATATAGTTCACTTTATAGTTCGGAGTTTGTGGCATGAAATCAATTACCATTCACGGAGTGGACGATGAACTGGACGCGGCAAATCTGGAGAACGTCCGCAGCCGAAGGCAAGAGCCGCAAAGAGAAGAGGGCCCAGAATGGCAGAGCGTAAAGAGGAAAAAACTAATGAAGCCGAGAGGAGGAGTAGAGACGAGCTAAGCTTGACAAGAACCCCTTACAGGTCTGCTCGAACCGTCCGGGAGAGCGGTGCTGCGCGACGAGAAGAGTTTGCCGATCTCTTTGGCTAGTTGTCGCAGCAGGAACTACCGCCTGCGTTTGAACGGCACAAAGATCATGACGCCAAATTGACCCCGGCTCAGGAAGGAGTGCCTTGACTACGGTCGCCAGACTCATTCATCGCCATATAGAGAAATCGCCAAACGCGAAGGCGTATCGATCAATAATTCATTTCTACAGCGGTTTCGGAAAAAGTATCGGCCATTTTGACGGAAGAGTACTTATCGAGTAGAGCCGGTCGTGCCAAGAAGAGCGTGCGAAAAGCACTAGATGAGCGCCCGCCACGGCCTCCATTGCCCGAAGATCAACTGATTCGCGGCACTCGCCGGATCCAAGGGGAACAGGCGCGTCAGGCCGGCCGATCTGGATCGGCCCAGGTATCCGGTCGGGAGCGAGCCGCCTGCGGCCGGTTGAGTGCGGCTTGGATTCGCCGAGATGGACAGGCGATTTCCTCAGCCGTTTCGGCACCGATGTCGAGGCCGACGGGGCTGAAGAGACATGCGATCTGCTCATCGCTTGGCGCAATGCCTTCTCTGCGCAGATCGGCGAGCAGGCGCTGAGTGCGCTGGTGCGGGCCGAGGACGCCCAAATAGACGAGGGGCGTGCCGAGCAAGTCCCGCAACAGAGCTTGATCCTGTAGATAGTTGTGGCTCATGATGACGGCGCACGAGCGGTTGTCGAATTGAAGATCCTCGGGCAGATGACCGGGCTGGGCGAGGAGGACCTGCCTAGCCCAGGGAAGCGCTCGGCGCGAGCATAGGAGGGCCGGTGGTCGGCGACGGAGACGCGCCAGCCGAGTTCGCCGGCTAGCTGGGCGAGGGGCACGGCGTCGTAGCCAGCACCGAAGAGGTAGAGAGCGATGGGTGGCAGCAGAGGCTCTACGAGCAGGGCGGCCTTGCCGTGCGTCAACTCGTAGTGGCGAGTGTGTCCTAGGGTGATGGGGAGCCGAGTGTCGTCGAGGGTAGCAAGGATTCCGCTGGCGGCGTTGAGCACAATCTCGCGCAGCTCCAAGTCGGCGATGTCGTCGCGGGCGTTTTCCCGCTCGTCGAGGATCAGATGTTGGCCCGGTGCGGCATTGGTTTCGCCCTCGGTGGCAAAGACCGTGACGAGGACGCCGTGCCGATTTTCCAAGGCGCAGCCGTGCAAGAAGGTTGGATAGTGGAAGGGAGCATCTTGGGGCAGGCGCTCTAAGAGCACGTCCACCGTGCCGCTACAGCCTAAGCCAGTGCCCCAGAGGATGTCGTCTTCAGAGGTGGCGTCGTAATGGAGAAGACGGGGCAGGCCATCGGCGAAGACGGCTTGCGCGTTTTCGCGCACATCGCCTTCGAGACAGCCGCCGCTGATGGTGCCCAAGCCTGAAGGTCGGCTTCGATCAGCATGCGGGTGCCCGGTCCGCGATAGGCTGAGCCGGAGGTCTGCACCACAGTGGCTAGGACATAGGGCTCACCCGCCTCGTCAAGCTCCTCGGCGCGGCGGAGGATCGTCTGCAAGTCTTTCACGGCTGGACTCCAAAGCGCCGGTACCAGTCGTCCGTCGTCGGCGCAGCGGGCTGGGCTTTTGTCGGCGCGGGCTGCTCAGGACGTCGGCGCAGGTAGCGCGCGGCCGTCGCGCCGCGCAGCCTCATCAGGTATCCGACTAGGGCCTTGAGGCTCTCGATATTGTGGGCTGGGGCAAAGAGGTCGATGTACGGCAAGGCGGCCTGCATCCCGCGCGTGGCGGGCCGATAGTCCGGGCTGCCTAGCAGGGGGTTGAGCCAGATTAGGCAGCGGCTGCGGCGCTGCAACGTGCGCATGCTTTCTTCGAGGAGCTCAATGTCGCCAGTGTCCCAGCCATCGCTGACGATCAGCAGCGCGGTCTGGCGATCGACGAGGGCGGCGTGTTCGCTGAGGAAGGTCGCCAGCGAGGTGCCGATGCGCGTACCGCCCGACCAGTCCGGCACCTGTGCGGCAATCGCGTCCAACCCCGCGCTCAGGTCGTTGCCCCTCAGCAGGGGCGCGACGTGGTGTAGCGAGGTCGCAAACACAAACGTCTCGATGCGGCGATAGGCGTTTTGGAAGGCGTACATGAACTGGATCAAGAAGCGGCTGTATAGGTCCATGGACTTACTGACATCGCACAGCAAGACCAGCTTGGGCTTCTGGCGGGTGCGGCGGCAATAGGACAGGTCCAGCAGTTCGCCGCCGCGGCGCAGGCTGGCGCGGAGGGTGCGCCGCAAGTCGAGGCGGCCCGGCGTGCGAGCGGGCCGATAGCGGCGGCTGAAACGCGTGGCGAGCGCGCGGGCAATGGCTTGCAGCAACCGCCCGATCTCCTCCAGCTCTTCGGCGTTAAAATTCTTAAAATCGCGCTTTGTATGTACCTCAATGGGGCTGTACCCAGCGGCCTCGCGCTCCTCTTCGGTCGGCTCGCCCTGTTTGAGCCAATCGCGAACGCTCGTCAAGCCACTCTTGCCGGGGCGGTTGGCATTGGTCTTTTCGGAGGTAGAGGGCTCTGGCTGGGGCTGCCCCAGCTCGCCAGCGCGATCCCATATCGACCAATAGACATCGAAAAGCGCATCGAAAAGCTTCTGCTCGGCGGGCGTCTTGGCCAAGGTCGTCCGCAGGCTTAGCCGAAAGTCCTCCGGATCTGACAGGTCAATGGCCGTCAGAGCGCGAAGCGCGTCTTGCTCCTCGCCCATGGCCACGCCGGAACGCTGGGCGCGCAACAGGCGGCAGAAGCCGACCAAAATTCGCGCTCAACGCGCCGTGCAGGGCGATGTCGTCGATTTTGTGGTTCATCGTTCTGGAGCCAGCTTGGCGCGGACTCCCAATCCTTCCAAGAACTCGGCCAGCGATTGCTTCACCTGCGCCACGTCGCGCTGGTCCTTGAACACAATGCCCAAGGTATCCGCCACGACTTCGAGGTCGAGGTGGTGCTGGTGCAGGGCGACGAGAGCCTTGGCCCAGTCGAGGGTTTCGGCGACGCCGGGGATCTTTTCGAGGCGCTGCATGCGGATCTTTTCCATGAAGCGACAAATCTGCTCGGCGAGCTGAGCGTCGATTCCAGCGACCTTGCCACGCACGATCTCCACTTCCTTGGCAAATTCCGGGTAGTCAATCCACAGGTAGAAGCAGCGGCGGCGCACGGCGTCGGAAAGCTCGCGGGTGCGATTGCTGGTCAGGATTACGTGCGGTCGCGCCGTTGCGCGGATGGTGCCGATTTCGGGGATGGTAATCTGCCAGTCGGACAGCACTTCGAGCAGGAAGCTCTCAAACTCCTCGTCGGCCCGGTCGAGTTCGTCAATCAGCAGCACTGGCGGGACGGGCTGGGTAATGGCCTGGAGCAAGGGGCGCTTGAGCAGGAAATCCTCGGAGAAGAGGTCGGCCTCGCGCTCGGCTAGGGGACGTTGGCTTTGCTCGTCGAGCTTGATATGCAAGAGTTGGCGCTGGTAGTTCCACTCGTACAGGGCGGTGTGGGCGTCTAGCCCCTCGTAGCACTGCAAGCGAATCAACTCGGTGTCGAGGGCGCGGGCCACGACCTTGGCGACCTCGGTTTTGCCGACGCCAGCCGGCCCCTCGATGAGCAACGGGACGCTCTAGGGTCTGAGCGAGGTACAGGACATAACGACTTGGCGATCGGCGACATACCCGTGCTCGGCGAGCATCTCTTGGATCGCGGCAGTGGCACTCATTAGACCCCTCTCGTTGCGCGGTGCAATGTCCTATTCGCCGCCCGCAACGCTTCTCTCTCCGACGGCGCGGTCGGAGTTGCAGGCGGTGCAAGTTCCCTAATATCACGCGCCGACTTCCGTACAGCAAGAACGCGCCGACTTCGCCGGACATTGCCCACTGCTAGGGATTCTCTATATTCTCAAGTCTCTTTAGCAGCCGTCTCAAAATTCTAAGTGCGCTCCGATCAACGTCATTTCACATCTGCGTTCATCTGCGGATACTTTGCCGTCGGGCGACAGCCGGTAGGGGTTTTGAGACCGCTTCTTAACGCCGTCTGTGGATGCCTTTGTATGGCCCTTGAAACACCTGCCAAAACCGAGTTGGTGCGCGACCTTTTAGGCCGCCCGTTGGCCTCTTTGCGCGTGTCGGTAATCGACCGCTGCGACCTGCGCTGCCAGTACTGCATGCCCGAAGAGCACTACACCTGGCTGCCCAGTAAAGACATCCTCAACGCCTCCGAGATCGAGCGCGTGGTCGATGCCTTTTGCCAAGTTGGCGTCCGCAGCGTCCGCTTGACCGGCGGCGAACCGCTGTTGCGCGCCACTCTGCCCGCGCTCGTCGCCCGCCTCGCCGCGCTGCCCCTCGTCGAAGACTTGGCGATGACTACCAACGCCACGCGATTGGCGCGGTGGGCCGAGCCGTTGCGGGTCGCTGGTTTGCAGCGGATCACCGTCAGCTTGGACTCGTTAGATCCAACGCGCTTCGCGGCCTTGACGCGCCGCAGCACTCACGCCAAGGCGCTGGAGGGGATCCGGGCGGCCGCGGCCACTGGCTTTGACGCGCTCAAGCTCAACGTGGTCGTCATGCGCGATTTCAACGACGACGAACTCGTGGATCTCCTCGAATTCGGGCGCGAGGTAGGGGCCGAGGTCCGCTTCATCGAATACATGGACGTAGGCGGCGCGACCCAATGGTCTATGCAGAAGGTCGTGTCGCAGGCGGAAATACTGGCGCGGCTGACGGCCCACTACGGGCCGATCGAGACCGAGGCCGGGCGTGGTTCCGCGCCCGCAGCGCGCTTCCGCTTGAGCGACGGGACGCGCTTTGGCATCGTCGCGTCGGTCTCCGAGCCGTTTTGCGGGGACCTGTGACCGCAGTCGGCTGACGGCCGACGGGCTGTGGTACACGTGTCTGTACGCGCAGCAAGGCACCGACCTAAAGCCCTTGTTGCGCGGCGGAGCGGACCGGGAGCGGCTCGTGAGGCGTATTAGCGCTGGATGGGCGGGGCGGACGGACCAAAGCGCTGAAGAGCGCAGCCGCGACCCACAGCGCGGCGCACTCTATCCGGTCGAAGCCTTACAGGCGGATCCGCACCGCGAGATGCACACCCGCGGCGGTTGAGCCGCACCCTTTCCCACTACATGGATTACTTTCGCGCCAAACGCTATTTGGACGCCCTGCCCGACTGGGAGGTCGGCCGTCCAGCGCTCGGGCCGATCGCGGATTACCTGCCGAGGATGCGCGCTCTGCTGGCCCGCCTCGGCGACCCGCAGGCGCGCTTTCGCTCGGTCATTGTCGGCGGCACCAACGGCAAGGGAACGGTCGCTAGCTTGCTCGCCGCCATCCTAAAGGCGCAGGGGCACAAGGCCGGGCTGTACACTTCGCCGCATCTGCACACCCAGCGCGAGCGGATCCGCATTGACGGCGAGATCCTCAGCAAGGAACAATGGGCTGACGCCGTGTCGCATCTCGACGATTGCACTCGCGACTTTGGCCGGGAGGCCTTGGGGTCGTTCAGCAAGTTCGAGGCCCTGACCGGCCTCGCGGCCCATCTCTTCGCGCAGCAGGGCGTGGAGTTCGGGGTTTTCGAGGTAGGGCTTGGGGGCCGCTACGACGCGACCAACGCCTGGGACTCGGAGCTAGCAGTCCTGACGGCCATCGGCCTAGACCACGTGGACCTGCTGGGCAATACCTTGGAGGAAATCGCCGCTGACAAGCTGCACATCGCCCGGTCGGGTCGCGCGCTCGTCACCACAGCGGCGCAACCTCCCGAGGTGATGGCCCTAATCCAGCAGACCTGTGCAACGCGGGAAGTGACGTTGCACAGGTCTGCTGGAACGGAGTGGGATCTAGGCCCGCTAACAGGTCGTCCGGCGATCTACGCGGAAAATGCGCGGCTAGCCTTTGAGGCGGCGCAGGGGCTCGTCCAGAGCATAGAAGACGAAGTAGCTCACCAGGTCGTGACGGCCCATCGCTGGCCGGGCCGCTTTGAAGTGGCGCAAGAAAAGCCGCTAGTCTTGCTCGATGGAGCGCACAATCCGGCAGCGGCCGAGGCGTTGGCCGGGGAGTTACAGCGGCTGAGCGGAGAGCGTCCCGTCGCCAATACTGGCGACGCATGGGTGCTGGTCGTCGGCGCGGGAACAGGGCACGATGCGGCGGGGATTTTGCGCGCCCTAACGCCGGTGGCGCAGCGGGTCTTGCTGACTTCGTCGGACCATCCACGGGCGCTGGCACCAGCGGTGCTAGCGGACCTGGCACCGGACGGACTAGCCGTCGAGCAGGTGCCTGCAAGCAGCCAAGCGCTCAAGCGCGCACTGGCGCTAGCGGGGCGCAAAGGCCGAGTCTGCGTAGCCGGGTCGCTGCACTTAGTGGCGCGGGCGCGGGAGTTTTTCGATTTGCCCGGCGAGCGCGATGGCATCACCGAAGACATGGCGCTGGAGAATCTGGAGTGCGTTGCCGAGGCGGGTCGGCGGCGGGGACTCGTCTGCGAGTGGATTTCAGACGACGGCACTCGGCTCAAGCTGTCGGGCGGGCCAGCGGCCCTTGCGCTTCTGGCGCAACAAGCATCCCTTCAACGACTACGTCGAGGCCCGGCTCGCCGAAGACAAGGCATATCAGTATGAGGATTTCGCCGCCGCCGGGTTGCCCATCCCCGATACGCTCAAGCTCTTCAACCCGCTGGCCGACGCGCGCTTCGACCGCTACAAGACGCACGCCACGGTCGCGGCGATCGTCGCGGAGGTAATGAGCGCGGTTCGAGTTCCCCCTGTTGGTCAAGAAGTGCCACAGCTCGCTGGCGCAGGGCGTGTTCTTGGAGCGCGACGCAGCAGACCTCGGCAAGCGGCTCGAATCCCTCTTTGCAAACAGCGCCTTTTTGGACAACGTCGCGCTGGTGCAGCAATACGTGGCCGGGCCAGAGTATCGGATCGTCGCCAGTCACGAAGAGCTGTTGCTGGCCTATCGCAAGGAGAGCGAGGCCGTGGGGGCAGACGGGCGACCTCAATCCGCTGCATCAGGCCACCGGGCGTGCCGTGCGCGTGGAGGACGCGGCCTGCTAGCGCAGATGCAACAGCTAACGAGCAAGTGGCCGTGTGTACTCGCTCGGTTTTTACGCCATTGACCTCATCCACGGCGCGGCCGGTTTCTCCATTATCGAGATCAATCCCAACCCCATGTGCTACGTTTACAACCGCGACAACGGCCGCCGGGACTTCATTCGGCTATACGAGCGGCTGCTCACCCAATTTGCCCTGTAAACCAGCTAAGGAAATCTACATGGATATTCAGACCCGCCTCGTCCACGCTGGCGAGGAGCGCATCGACGGTGCCGTGGTGCTGCCGATCTTCCAGAGCTCGACTTTTGTCTCGCAAGACGAGCAGGACTACGACGCCATCCGCTATCTCCGCCTCAACAACACGCCCAATCACCGCGCCTTGCACGCCAAACTGGCCTCTGTCTGCGGCGGCGAGGACGCCTTAGTCGCCGGCTCGGGAATGGCGGCGATCACCACTGCGCTGCTGACCGTACTCAACAGCGGCGATCACCTGCTGATCCAAGACTGCCTCTACGGGGGGACGCATGGCTTTGTGACGCAGGATGGGCCGGGTTTCGGGCTGAGCTACGACTTTATCGCTGGCAACGCGCCTGAGACGTGGGCGGCCAAACTGCGGCCCGAGACGCGGGCGATCTACGTCGAGACCATGACCAACCCGCTATTAGAGGTTGCCGATTTAGAGGCAGTAGTGGCGTTTGCTCGCGAGCACGGCATAGTCTCGCTGATCGACAATACCTTTGCCTCGCCGTGCAACTTCCGCCCGCTGGAAATCGGGTTTGACATAGAGCTGCACACCGCGCGACCAAGTACCTCAACGGCCATTCGGATATCGTCGCGGGCGGGGTCGTCGGCTCGGCTGCACACGTCACAGCCATTAGACACAAGCTGAATCACTTGGGCGGCTCACTAGATCCCCACGCCTGCTTTCTGCTGCAACGGGGCTTGAAAACCTTGTCGCTGAGAATGCGGCAACACGACGAGAATGGCTTGCGGCTCGCACGCTTTTTGACCGAGCAGGCGCAGGTGGTGCGGGTGAATTACCCAGGGCTGGAAAGCCATCCGCAATACGAGCGGGCGCAGCGGCTGTTTGCCGGGGCGGGTGGGGTGTTGAGCTTTGAGTTGCACGGGGGCGTGGAGGCCGCCGAGCGGTTGCTGTCCAAGCTGGTTCTGCCGGCGTCAGCCCCCAGTCTCGGCGGGGTCGAAACCCTCATCACTCGGCCAGTCACCACGTCGCACAGCGGCTTGAGTCGAGAGGAGCGGGCGGCCATGGGCATAGCCGACGGTTTGGTTCGGGTGTCGTGCGGCATTGAGGCCGCCGAGGATTTGTGCGCGGACTTTGCGCAGGCGCTTGGCTGGGGTGTAGGATCGCTAGGAGTGAATTATGGAAGCAGCAATACAAACCGCTCAAACTATACTAGACGATTTGATGATGTAGTAGGCGAGGACGAAAATCACCCCCTAGCCTCATTAATGGAGGTCATAGGTGTGCTGATTGAGAAATATGAGGATGAACACGTCCCTGAGCTAATGAGGTATAGCTGTTGGATGAAACTGAAATACTCAGTGCTCTATGAGCGTCCAACAATCACAATATCCCATAGCGGACTCAAAAACCTCCTCGGCGACTGCCCCGCAGCCAACTACGCGCACGACGTTTTCCCCGGCGAGCTTTTCCATGGCCTTTTTGTGGACTTCGCCTTTGATCGCCGCCGGAATCACCGCCACGCCATCGTAGTCGGCTAGAATAAAATCGCCGGGGTGAACCTGCACGCCGCCGCAGGTGATAGGTTGGTTGATCGTTTTGGCGAGGATGCGACCCGCCGAGTCGAGCGGCGAATAGCCTTTGCAGAAGCAGTGGTAGCCCATGGCGTTCATCTGGCGCACATCGCGGACCAAGCCGTCGGTGAGCACGGATTCGACGCCGCGAGCTTGGGCAGCCGTGGAGAGAAGCTCGCCCCAGAGGCCGGAGCGCTCCTCGCCGTTGGTGGCGATGATGTCATTTGACCCATCGTGCGTCACCAGCCGCGTGCTCCAGAGGGACGGCGCGGCGGCCCTCAGAGCCGTCTAGCGGGCCGCCGTCCGTCTATCAGGGAGAGCCGTTCCACTACGACGGCCAGCCTTTGTCGGCACCCGAGTTTGAGGGTGCTGTTCCCTTTGGGCGCGCACATACTTAGACCGGTGCGCTGGAAGAAAGAAGACGGCCGACTTGACGGCTTGCCGCTAGGAGCCGCGGGGTGGCGCGGATGTGAGCACGTACGTTAAATGCACCGCCGCGCCCTACGTAGCACTCATCGAGAGGCAGCGACCCGCTCCCGATCTGACTGCGGGGCATTACCTCCTACTTAGATCAGCAGCATCTTTTCGAGTACTGGCTGACTACGCTGGCGGCGACTTGGATGTGCATCAGTTAAATAAAGTATATACCGCGCACACAAGTCGGCCCCTTTCGTCTGTCGCGTCACGCAGGGACGAGGCATATCGTCGGCGTCTGGTACTGCTCGGCGACCAAGACGTGCGGAGTTAATAAATGGAGCCAAGGACGTGATAATCTCCAGCCGCACGGTGGGTGGCGGGCGCTTCGAGCGCATATCGGATCGTCGTGGTTGGGTTGAACGGGTTGGGATAGTTGTGTAGGGCTTGGGCTTGCGGTGCGCTGATCTTGGCGGCGCTTATGGGCGCGTCCGTCCATGTGATCGACGACCGCACGTCCTTGAGGCCCGCCGTCCGCGCGGCCGCGTCTTGGGGCCTCTCCTGCTCCGTCTGGGCGCGTCCTCCCAAGGTCAACTCCCAGAAATGGTACCGATTGGCGTTGATCGGCAGGGACGACCACTGGCCTACCACCGTGCCGTCGGCCGTGCTGGCTTGGGCATGGTAGTAGCCCGGCTCGGCGTTGGCGACGAGGGTTAGGTTGACATGCCCCTCCTCGTTGGCCAGACCCCGCCAGACGACGGTATCGGGCGGCCTGAACAGCTCGACGGTCAAGCCCGCGACCCGCTCGCCTTGCACCACCACCACCACGCTTATGTCCTCGTCGGATACGCTCCGCTCGGCGGCCACGCCCCAACGGGTCGTCCCTGTGTCGGACACCAAAATCTGCGTAGAGCCTTCTAAGGCTCCCGGCACGGCCGCCACCTGTGCCCACTCCACCACGGTGGGCTCGGCCCCCTCTTGGGCTTGCTCGCGGAAGATGCGGTAGCTATCCACCAAGGCGTGATCGGCGCTGTGGTCCCAACGCAGTTCGACCAAGCTGCCTTGATCGTCTAAGGCAACAGCCCCGACGATCCTATCGGGCGCGTCCAGCGCCCGGACAGCCAGCGCGGCTGAGTGGCCCGTGATCGTAGCGTCGAGCACGTCTCGGATGGACACGACCAAGCCCTCGCCGATAAATGACGAGCTGCGCACCCAAAAACGAGCGCGGCCGTTTTTCCAGCGGACCGTCTCCAAAAGCGCGATCCCTTCGGCGTTGGCCTCCAACAAGCCGGCGCCGGCGTCGCGGCTGCGCAGGTTACCGAACTGGTCCACTACGGCCACTTGGCCCCAGTAATCTATGCCGACCACCAGTGTGTCCGGCAGACGGTCGACGACGAATCGGGCGCGGAGGTCGGGGTTATAGACGATCTTCGGCTCCAGTGTCGCCAACAGGCCCCCGTCTGCGACTAAGGCGACCGTCAAGGTGTCGGTACCCACGGTGTCTTTGAGGACCACCCTGCGCTGGCCGTCCAGCCACGCCTCGGCGTCCAGCCGCGCCCGTCCATGGCCCAAGTCAGACACGCCGGGCCCTGAAAGGGTCACGCCACGCCCGCCCGTTACTTCCACAAGGGCCGTCCGGCGAAAAGTCCGCGCCCGCTCGTCGCCTTGGTAGGCAGTCAGGGTCAGTTCCACTTCTTGCCCCGCGTCGAGGTGGGCTGCCGGGTCTAAGCCGAGCGTGGGTTGCTGTGCCCTGGTGCCGCGCGGCTGCTGCTCATTCGCGCCGCGCACTTGGCCTTTCAAGGCCCCGGTGAGGCGCAAGACGGGTTCAGAGCCAATCCCATCGACGAATCGCAACGGCTCGTCCTCGTCCCCCTCGTCGTCGGCTGGCAACGGATCCTCGTCCGCCTCGCCGTCGGCCTCCGGGGCGCGGGTGACGATGAGGGTATAGGTTTTCTTGGTGCGCCCATCTTCGGCGGTGACCGTCGCGATGATCGGGTTTTCACCGACCTTGAGCGAGACCTGATGGAGCACCGCCGTCGGGTCGGCATCGGCGGGCATGATAGCCACGCTGGCCCCGGGGGCTGAGATCGTTACGACCGTGAGGATCGCCACGTGATTGCCTACCGCCGCCGTGTAGTTGTACGTAGTCGCGGCAAAGGCCGGCTTAATGAATCCCTCGGAAAAGGCTATCGCCCTAAGCGTCGCGTCCGTGGACTTGGGCTTGGGGTCTTTTTCCGGTTCCTTTTCCGGTGTCTTCGCCGGTTCCAAGCGGCTGACGGTGATGGTGTAGGTCTTGGTCGTGATTCCGTCTTGGGCCGTGACGACCACGGTGATTTTGGTTTCGCCGCCGTAGAGCAAGACTTGATGGCCGGCCGAGACCGAGCTTTGATCTTTGGGCAGGGCCACGCTTGCCCCGGCGTCTTGGGCGGTCGCTGTGATCGTGAGGGCTCCAATGCCGGAACCGACCTGAGCCGTGTATTGGGTCGTGGAGGGGGCAAACGCCGGAGAAAGAGCCACCGTGTTGATGGTGTTCAGCACCGTCAGGGCCAAAGCCTTCAGCGTCGCGTCTGCCGGCTTAGGCCGCGCGGGCGACGGTGAGTGGTATAGGTTTCTTGTGCGCCACATCGCGGCGGTGGACCTCCACGGTGATGTGTTGCCTTCGTGAGCTGGATTGATGGCCGGCCCGCTCTCGTGTCGGCATCCGCCGGCGCATGATCGCACCGTCCTCGTGCGGGTGGCAGTGGCCGTGATCGAGCCGTCGCCACGTCTAAGCCTACTCTGCGCAGTGTAGGCGGTTTTGGAGGAGGCAAAGGCCGGGGAAAGTGTGGCCCCACCAGACAGGGCCAACGCCTTCAGCGTCGCGTCCTTGGACGACGGGGGCGGGTCTGGCTGGGTAGAGTGGTGGTAACGGTACCCACCGCCACCGCTCACACACACCGCCGCGCCACCACGCAACACCGCCACCGCCGCCACACCACCGCACCACCGGCACCGCCGCCACCACGCACGCTGGTGTGGCGCGGATCGGATCATATGGCGGATCTGGCCGCGTGTCTGCCCACCGCGGTCACGTTGATAGGATAGAGTCTTTGTGTCTGTGCCGATCGGTGCCGATAACCGCCACACTATCCTGTTGCTACCGACTTTGACGGTCACGAGGAGGCCGTTAGCGGTCGGGCGTGGCGATCTCGTTGTGTGGCCCGGAGACGTTGGGGTGGCCGTGCTGATCGTGATCGTCGCCACCGAGCGGCCAACCGAGACGGAATACGCCGTTACATTCGGGTCAAACTCCGGGGAGAGCACCCCCATGTTTAAGGTCAGTATATCAAGCGTCGCATCCGCACGCGGCGGGGAAGCGCATCCGTGACGCACGGATGGTGTACACTTTGGTGTGCGCTCTCATCGGGTGAATTGTTAGGTCGTAACGCGATTATGGTCAACGTCGTCCCGGACTGGGAACTGGTGGCCACCAGTCCCGGTGGGAATCGCGAGGAGACGAGTAGTCGATCATAGCTCCATCGCCTACGGCGTTGGCGACGGGATTGACCGTGAAAAGCGCCGTGCCGTGCTCGACGAAGGCCGTGTAGTCTCCTTTATACGGGTCAAAAGTTTGGTTGAGGCTCCCCTCCTCCCCCACGTCCACGGGCACGAGCTGGCTCAGCGTCGCATCCGTGGACGGCGCGGCCGCGCGGGTCGCGCGGATGATATAGCGCTGTTGTGTTGCGCCATCGAAGCCGAAGTGACCGTTACGTGATGTCCTGTGTTTGCCGTCCTGAGTTCGACTGCATGGTCGCGCGCGCACGGATGGCTGTCGACGGCGGGGTCGTAGGCTGATGGTAGCTCCGGCAGCGGCTGTGGCTGCGACCGTGATAAATCCCACCGGGTGCCAACGGACGGCTCTGCATACTCAACACTACTCCTATTAAACGTGGGGAGCTTATAATCGGCAATGGAGTGTCGTCTAACCGCGTCAGGGTCAGAGTCAGCTCGTCAGCTTCGCCTCCACGGTGTCGCCCCTAGACGCGTCACGGTGATGGTAAAGTTTCGTGGTTCCATCATTGGCCGTGACTGAAACCCGATCGTGTTTGCCCCCCGACATGAGTGCGACCTGATCCATTCGCTGCACTGTCGGAACGAAAGGGTAGATTGTGAAGTCGGCGTCTGAAGCGTTTTGACGGAGGCGACCGTGAGACCCTCTACATCAATAGTACACCCCAAGTCGAGATGATTCAGTGGGTTAAAAGCCGGGGAGAGCCTCCTGAGACAGGCTCAAAG